ACTATACTATGACGGTCATTTTGGCTCAACGCTAGGGACTTGTCCGTCGCTAGTCTCGATTGAGGTTATCCCAGCAATAGGGAAAGAAAACCGTCCCCGAACGGAGTTAGGGGAAGAGTCGCTTGAGTTGGAGGAAACTCCTCTTGAAAAACATTACATGTTGCTTGCTTTCTGGGCAAGATTGTGTGGAGTGCTGTACGGCAGTGATGTATTTTGGTGTGTGCCCCTCTGCCGACGCCGCATGTTAGTGCCTGTTACGACGTAGGAGGAATAATCGATCATGGTCTAGACAGCTATCGTTGTAGTAGTATGCTTGATTTTCCCGCTGACTGCAGTGGACATGTCTTACGACAATCAAGTTTGGAGCCCATGCGACCCTCAACCATCGATGTCTGTCTCCGTCTTTCTGTACACACACACGCAGTGGTCCCATCTGACCTCTTCGACGACGACCGTAAACCATTTATAAAAGGGGTAAATTGTGGCTCCCCGTGGCGGAGTGAGGTCACCAAGAGAGCCATAGGGGGCGTTGAGTCTGTGGGCAGGTTTATGACACCGATGATCTTCCCTGTCATCGTGAAGTCGGATCACTTCGATGATATGAGACGAGATATTACGAGAAACTTGGGAGCGGCGACATTTGCGGAGGCATTCCACATGATCTGTTCGGAGGGGGCAAACAGCTACTCGCAGTTTGAGATTATGGTGACCTACCTCTGGTACAACAAGCACGATGAATACTCGTGGCACATCGCGGACCCCGCGAACATGGACGCCAAGAGCCTTAACATCGGCGACAAAAGGTGATTCATGTGCCGTTGCTGCGTTTTGGTGCACATTGTAACTCAATGATTACCCATTTCAATTCAAAGTTGTCAAGATCAAAGCCGGTAGTGTTCTACTCATTTCGGTATATCGCCCACCGGCGTAGTAGGTATTACATTGAATATTTCTGCCCGAGGTCCTCTCGACCTTCGTCTCGCGATGGCATACTCCCTCATAAGAAGGCCCACCAGAGAATTGATGGAACGCACCTTGTCGCTTGTCATCCGCCTGTCTCTTGACGGTCCATAGGTACTACGAAGACGATCGCGTCGTTGCGACGAACGTACCGGTCATTGTGGTCATGAAGCACTCGAAAATCAGGACAAGCATCGATTCGGACACGTACGACTACCTCTGCCTGGGAAGCAACAACTTAGCGGGCAATTGCCAATCCCGTGTGCCGTCGCCGCTTGACGGGAGCGCGCAGACCGTGCAGTGGTCCGTCGGTAACCAAACTTGGATGCACACATACGAGGAACACTCCACGAAATTATCTCGGGCAGGGAAGGCATTCCGCTGGCGGAGGGAAACTGCACAAGATTGGATTCACCCGGGCGCTGATTGATCGCCTTGGGCGCCCTTTGACGCCCTCACGAGGACACCTCACCGGATGGATCCTCTGGTGCCATTATCTCGTAGATACGTTGCTGATATTGTAATCTCATTGTGGTCGCCGCCGTTCCTTGAATGTTTCTGCGGGAGTACGACACTTTTGCAGCACTAGGAGCTGGAAGCATTGCGGTTGTACGCCGAAAACTTGGGTTTCGAAAGCCGTAGTCGTGCTTGCCGTAGTCGTGAGACACTAACCTCTCATCCCTACAAAGTCGGGACGGAGCACGCCGGGATATCACAGGACCAGGCTCTCTCATAACCAATCGTGAAGCGCCGTGAGGGATTTGGCGAGTCTTATGGAGGGTGCGCTTCAACCTGCTTCGGGTGTTCAGCATTTTGTGCTTTACCTTGCAACGAATGACAGCTGCGAATAACCAAATTTATTTTCTGGTGCTTGCACTTCCCAGAGAGAAAAAAGATACCAGTTGTCGAAGACAAAATAAACTGTAGTTCATCGTGCACGGAAGAATTCAGAACATGTCCCAGGTTTACGAATGTACTAAGGTTTTTGTTGTGCCGCCCTGGAGACGTGTTGGTCTTGGTTCGGTTTTCTGGGGTCCACAAAGAGAAAGGTCTCACGGAGTCCTCATTCTGCTGCCTTGCTTCTCCTACAGCAAGAGTTTGTATGACGCGTGCCTACTGGATCCGAGGGCCACGTGTTGAGGGATGCACAGTGTGTAACACGCAGCCCGCGTCGGAGAGTTTTGCGACATAGGAGGGAAGCAGCTATAGCTACATTGGCGTTTGGACCCAGCTAGCAGAAATTCGAAGCTTTTCTCGAGGGGCTGCGGGACGAGGGCAGGATGATGATGGAGCACGCTCGGCTGGAGCACCCAGCCGACGGACTGCGGAGACTGCTACTTCTCTGGGAGCCTGACACTTCGCGCGATGTGTGTTTTTGTATCAAATTTCATCAAAGGTTGACTGATCACATGTCATCCACCAGCCATGGATATCAATTGACAGCAGTGCTGTCACCGTGTCAGGTGTAACCCAGTCGTATGGTATTCCGGATTTATACATTGGACGCCGCCACAAAAGATCACGTCATGGGCATATTCGCACCGTTTGCTCGACAGTCTGAAGTGTGCTCTCATCTGCACTGTTCGTCTGCCTCCGCCAACACTCGGTTGCTGGAACCCAGCCGCCGCGAACAGCAACCGAGGTCTACTCAATTTGCATAGACTACGTTCTCTGATCACGAGGCCACATGGACGAGGGTGCGGGGTCACCGGCCACCTATGCATGACTCTGCGTACACGTCTTCGTCCCGACGCACTGAAGGTGGTGGTAACAACGCACTAAACGTGACATACCTCCCGTGTGGGGATGTA